GTTTTTAAGTTAGTGATCTGTAAGTATTTAGAACAAAAATGATCCATAGGCTCAAAAACAGATTCTTTAAGAAAACCATGCCTATCTAACCCTTTATTTTCCTATAAAAATAAAAAGGCAATTTATTTTTTCTATACTAGTTGTACCAGGGCAGGATGTTTTTGTATTTCAGCCTTCTTTTACATCATCTTCATGTACAAAAGTGGAGACACAAGGTTTCTGCTTACTTGGCAGATCTCACTTCAGGATGATAGTGAGAGGAGCTCAGATTAGGAGTAAGACTCCATCTCCATCGCAGCCTGGTCCCGTACACTTCTGTCCCAAATTGAGGGTGGGAGGCCCCAGTGGCAGTTCATTAAGTTTGCCCATTACCCACAGCAGACAGATGCACATGAGCTTGATGCATGAGCCTGACAGCATGTGGGAGAGGCTGAATCCAACAGGGTGGAAGTTATTCAGGAGGAATGGCAAGTCCACAGCCACAGGGTCTATGGCTCATCCACTTCTGTGCCCTTTCTAGCCTACTCAGAAAATTAGGTTGCCTACCAAAATGCCCTGGAGACACAGGCATGCCCCTTTTAGCCCCTCTGGCTTAGAAGCCCTCCTCTCTGATTCTTTTTTTTTTGGCTGGTCCTGGGGCTTGAACTCAGGGCCTGAGCTCTGTCCTTGAACCTCTCTGTGCTTAAGGCTTGTGCTCTACCACTTGAACCACAGCACTACTTCTGGATTTTTCTGTTTATATGGTACTGAGGAATGGAACCCAGGGCTTCATGCATACTAGGCAGGCACTCTACCACTGAGCCACTTTCCCAGCCTTCCTCTCTGATTCTTCACCTGCTTTTTCCTACACTGTGTGTACGTGCATGGTTAACATGGTCTTTCAGCCATGGGTCAGGCTCCAGAGCTAGTTTTCATGTCTATTCTTACATTCATTTAGCAAATATTAATGAGCACCTCTGTGTGCCAGTGCCTTAATCTGTGGAGGGCATGCAGTGGAGACTGATCAGGTAATTGCAGTTATAAAAACTTGACCTTAGGCACTATGCCGCTGTACATCAGGAATGTGGGTGGGAGTCTAGAAGGAGGGCTCCTTGCACTGCTCTTTCGCTGGAATCTGAAAGAGATTGTGCAGTTGGCTAGAGGAGAGGGCAGATCTAGGAATGTGTGTCTCCCAGCTCCCCACAGCTGCAGCCCAGACTGTGGCTGGACCTCAGGAGAGGACACCTGGTTGATGCTTTCTGGGCTATGTTCAGAAGTTAGGGGAGTACTATTTGTTGGGTGGGGAGGGGTTCCCTTAGCTATCACCTGGGCTGAGTACCTCTGACCCAACTGGGACAGCACGTGGAGACAGCTCTTAGGGCCTTCCAAGTTCAGACTAGAAATGCAGGGAATAGTTTGTGCCTTGGGCTGCTTCCTCCCCCTCTGCCTATGTGGAAAAGAAGCCATGATCCAAACATCTCCACATCCCTCTAGTGATTCCCATAATTACTCTCAAACACCCACTTCTCTCTAAGTGGGGGGAGGCTTCAGGATAGGATGAGGCATCATATATGCCTCAGCTCCTTTGTGTGCTATTCATGCTCTGAAAGCCTGCTGCAGTCCCCCAACTCCACCCATACTTGCTTTTCTCTCCCAGTCCCACCCCAGATGAGAGAGACCTGGGAGGAGGCCAGTCTCCCTCAGATACTTATTCCCAGCAATTTTTTCTGTTATTGCCAATTGAAGATAAATTGAAAATAGCAGAGAAATGGAACCCAGACAGAGACCTGAGCCAAGCTCTTGTCATGTGTTGCCATGACATTTGCATGTGTTGCCATCCAGGAGGCCCCAATTCAGGCAAGTGTGAGGTGGGCTCTGCTGCCCTGGGAGATGGAAGAGCAGGTCCCCAGCCTAGTGCTGCAGCCCTGAGCATGCTTGTTCCATCTTAGAGCGTCTGTTTCGCCATCCATGAAATGGGAGGGTTCTGTTATTTCAGAGTTCAGGCCTTCCTGTCACCTGTCCACTTGCTGTTTTGGCTACAGCAGCAAGTGTAGCTGTGTTCACTGACCCCATGTCCCTGGAAGAGATGGTTTGCAAGCCTGGGCACCAGGAGTGGCCATGTTCTTAGAAAGAGTGTACCAGGGCAGGAAGCACAAGCCAGGAGTCAGGAGGAGAAGAGGAAGATGAGGAACAGAAATTGGAACTATAGATTGAGTATCCCTAATCTGAGATCCTAAGCACTCCAAAATCTGAAACCTGTGGGCAACATCGCCCTACAAGTGGAGATTTCACACCTGGCCTCACCTCACAAGTAGTAGGTAAATGTAGGTGCACTAAAAATATTGTACAAAATTACCTTTAGGTTATGTGTGTAAGGTATATATATGAGACATAAATATATTTTGTGTGTAAACTTGAGTCACTCTTCAGAATATTTCTTTGTGAACATGCAAATGTTCTAAAATAAAATTTGAAATCCAGAACACTCCTGGTGACAAGCATTTTGGAAGGGGGATACTAACCCTGTACAGTAAATAGAGTGGTGGTATGTATGCTGAGTGCGGTGGCTTATGCCTATAATCTTTTTTTTTTTTTAATTTTATTTTATTTGAGAACATACTGTACAGAGGGGTTACAATTACATGGGCAGGATAATGCATACATTTCTTACCAAGCATTGCAGCCTCCTCCTTTGTTTACCCTTCACCTCCCTTCCCAGCCTCCCCCCTCCCCCCCCCCCATCATACCCCCCTCCCCCCACACACACACCGACATTGTAAAGCTGGTTTTGACATGACATTTTGTACTTCTCATTGTTGCAACAGGTCCACCTGAATCCTTAAACGACTTGTTTGTCCCCATCTCCTCCACATGTTATACTGACATCAAATATAGTGAAAGCAGGGGTTACACTGTGAGGGAGGGACATACAAAGCAACAAAGAAATAATCTTATAAATTTATGCCTATAATCTTAAGCTACTCAGAAGGTAGCGATTGGGAGGATAATGGCTCCAGCAAAAACTTAGCAAGAATCCATTTTAAAGAACACACTGGGCATAGTATACATCCGTAATCCCAGCTACACAGAGGCATGGAGAGGAGAATCACAAACTGACACGGACCCAGGCCAAACCCACAAGACACTATCTGAAAAAATAAATACAGAAAAAAGGCCTGGAAGTTAGGAGTCAAGTTTACCTAGCAAACACATTGCCCTGAATTTAAAAAAAAGAAGGGGTGGGGAGAAAGGATCAGTACTTCTCAGATGTGGCCCCTGGACCAGCTATATCACATGGAAAATTGTTAGAAAGGCAAATTCTTGAGCCCTACCCAGACCTGTGGGGTCAGAAGCCCAGGGATGGTGCCTATGATCTGTTTTCCCAGCCCACAGTGATTCTGATGCAAGCTAATATTTGAGGACTGATCGGATAGAAGGACTTGGGAGAAAGATCAAAGAGGAAGGGGGAACTAGAGGTTGCCACTGTCTATTGAAAGTGGGCATTTTCACGTGTGTGTGTGTGTGTGTTGAACTGGAGATAATAGTCTCATGGACTTTTCTGCCAAGGCTGGCTTTGAATCATGAACCTCAGATCTCAGACTCCTGAGTAGCTAGCTGGATTACAGGTGTGAGCCATAGATGCCTGGCTCTGCTTGGTTCTTTTTTTTTTTTTTTAATTGATCATGGGACTTGAACTCAGGGCGTGGGAGCTGTCCCTGAGCTCTTTTTGCTTAAGACTGGCTCTCTAACACTTGAGCCACAGCTCAACTTCTGGTTTTCTGGTGGTTAATTGGAGGTAAGAAGTCTCATAGACTTTCCTGCCTGGGCTGGCTTCAAACTGTAGTCCTTAGATCTCAGCCTCCTAAGGAGCTGGGATTACAGATGTGAACACTAGCCCAGCCTGTGGTTATTTTATGGAAACTATTCAGAGTTATGGCCCTCTCATGCCTGTTAAAACAGACTTCAACTAAGGCAACTGAGTCCCAGATGTTTAGTTCCATGTTAGAGTCACAGGGATGGTGGCAGCAGTCAGTTAGAACTCAAGACCCACTGGTCCCAAAGCCTGAGTTCTCACCAGGTGGTGCCCTCACCCAGCTGCCCTCACCTGAGCCTCCACTGCATACCCAGCTCCCTCTTCTGTCCAATCAACACCAGATATGTGCCATGCAGCCTCCCGTGGAAAGGGGGCACACCATTAAGCAAGTCTGGGAGACTGCAGGGAAAAGAGAGGAGGTGGGTGACTGTCATCCTGCCTGTCCCCCAGCTTTCAGTGCCAAGTACACCAGCAAAATGCTGGTGTTCGTACAGGATGACGGAGCTGTCTTTATGTAACAAGAACATACAGGAAAATGCAGTTCTCAGCTACTCAGTGATGCCTGCCTATGCCAAGTCTTCTATAGGGTGTCATCTGGGGAAATGAAATGAAAGGCAAGTGGAATGGGTGGCCCCAAGGAACCAACAACAAATAACATTAACTAGCTTGAGTGCCAGCTTGCTTGGGCCACTAGAGCAGGTCAGGGTAGTGCAGAGATTCGATCATTATCACTAGGAATCAGACCTAAAACCTTGGAACCAGAAGATGTGGGCTCATTTTCTGGCCCCCAGACTTGCTAGGTCACCACATGTCTGACTGGTTCCTTACATATAGAACAGTTCATAATACTTGCTTGGAGATTGTTCTATTAGATGCTAACAAATCCTCAGTGATTTTTGTTTCATTCCCTTGAGAAGATGAGGCCATAGCAAAGCAGAGAAGGCTGCATGGAAGAGGTTGATTGTCACCTGACACAAGGATGGAGAATATTTAGTTAGTGCTTTGTGTGTCTTCTCTATGAAATTTCTGGATGTGCAATGTTATTGAAGGAGAATAGCTTTCACACTGATCTAGCTGTGTGCATATAATTACATGAAAGCAAGTTGCCTTCCTCAACAAGGGGAAATTGCAAGAGGATTTTTAAGTGGGCAGAGACTGTATCATCAACAGGGTCTCATGAAAGCCTGGCCTCTGCTCTTTCCCGCAGATGATGCGCTTCTCCTGGCAGAGCTACCGGCGATATGCGATGGGCAAGAATGAGCTCCGCCCACTCACCAAGGATGGCTATGAGGGCAGCATGTTCGGTGAGTTGGCTACCCCTCTGGTGGCCCAATACAGTTTCATTTTGTGACTTTTTTCACCCTGAGTTGAGACCTGGGGCTCCTGGGGCTGTAGTCCTCTGGGCTATTGCAGCTTCCTAGACTTGGGGGACCCAAGTACTTCTCTAGCCTTACAGATTTCTTGGTTACTTACTTTTTAGAGTGCAAAAATTTGGAAATGTGTTTAGGGATATGAGGGAGAGACTGCAATCAGAAGAACATAGGAATGTAAGTCCACTCCTCTGGGTCATGGCTGTTAAGAGGATATCAGTGTCCAGGAGGCTGGTGAGCCACTGCCTTTAGAATCATGGGGTGCATCTCTGGTGCTGCCTGGCAGATGACAGAACCATCACATGTTGCTTGATGCTTTCCCGTGGCCTCACCAGCTGCTGCCTTTGCCCCTGTCATCCATGGCATTCCCCAAACTCAGAGCTTAGAGATCCCCTCTCTGCGTCTCCCAGAGACTGAAGTGATGTAAACACCTAGCCTCACATTTCAAATGTGACCCCAGCCAAGAGGCCCACTCCTGCTCTGCAAACTGCTCGTGGGAGAAGATACTGGATAGCCTGACTGAGCCTTCCCTGAGTGGTGAGAGTCCATAGCCTCTGCCCCTCACTCCGGGTGTTCGGTCTCCTGGAGTCTGGAACAGAAAAGATAAGTATGAGGTGAAATCTTCAGGAAAACCTTAACGGCAGGTTGGTCCTGTGTGTGGACGGCCCCACTCCAGGTATCTGGTTACAAGAGAGGCCTGCGGACACCCCCGCCTCCCCCATGAAAGCACATTAACCTTCCTTCCCGGGTGGTGCATGACTCACAGGCGAGGCAGGGGCACGGGACATGAACTTGGGTAGCTTGATCTGTCTGATTATCCTAGGCATGCAGGGGGAAAGGATGTGTTAAAGATTGTAAACCAGGCAAAGAAGAATTTGTTATGCCAGGTGGATGTTGCCACTTGGACATCTTTGCTCTTTCCTTCTGTGGACTTTTTCTCCTTTTACATATAATTTTATGTCTTTTCCCTTTTTTTGGAAGAGGGCTTAACTTATAAGTATTTCCCTAAGTCATTTACATTTTTCATAAATAATATTTTTAAAAATTAAAAAAAAAGCTGGGCGGCGGTGGCTCACGCCTGTAATCCTAGCTACTCAGGAAGCTAAGATCTGAGGATCACAGTTCAAAGCCAGCCCTGGCAGGAAAGTCCGTGAAATTCTTTTGGTTTGGTTTTTTTTTTTAACTGTATTATTTTTGTCTTTTCTTTTTTGGTACTGGGGATCGAACCCAGGACGTTGCACTTGCTAGGCAAGCGCTTTGCCACTGAGCTACATCCCAGCCCCCGTGAAACTCTTATCTCCAATAAACCACTAGAAAACCGGAGGTGGCGCTGTAGCTCAAGTGGTAGAATGCTCACCTTGAGCTGAAGAGCTGAGGGACAACGCTCAGGCCCAGAGTTCAAGCCCCACAACCAAAAAAAAAAAAAAAAAATTGGGATAGGATTTTGCTTTATTGCCCAAGCTGCTTTCAAACTCCTAAGTTCAAACCATTCTTCTGCCTCAGCCTCAACGGTAGCTGGGACTGCAGGTGAGTACCACCATACTCACCTCATATTGAATGTTTTCATTATTTAACCATTTGTTTATGTCGGGCAGAGGTTTTTTTCCTAGTTTTTGCTATTTAAAATAATGCAGGAAGCCAGGTGCTGGTGGTTCATATCTATAACCCTAGCTTCTCAGAAGGCTGAGATCTGAAGATCACAGTTTGAAGCCAGTCTGAACAGAATAGTCTCTGTGAGATTTTTATCTTTAATTAACTAGCAATAAGCCAGACGTAGAGGTGTCACTCAAGAGGAAGAGTGACAACCTTGAGTGAAAAAGCTAAGGGAGAGCATTAAGCTCTAAGTTCAAGCCCAGCACAAATACATAAATAGGTAGATAGGTAGGAAATAGATAGACATACTCAGGAGTTACCACTTTGTAAGTAAAGTTCTATTTGAGGGTAGATTCCTGGAGAGGGATTCCAAGTTATATGGAGTAAGAGATGTTTCTTAACCTTACACACAAAGTGTGGTTCTTTGTTAGGAGGCTGGCTGCCTTGCCTGCCTGGGACACAGACCTGTGCCACACCTCCCTCCATACCAAGTGAGTGACAGGCCTGCCCAGGCCACAGACCTGCTCCACATCTCTCACAGCAGGGAAAGATGCCTAGTATAGAGCTCATGAAGGTTGTTTGGCTACCGCTGTAAAGGGTAAACTTAGCAATTAGCCAATGCTTGGAGAACTTGTGGACAGTGGGGAGGGGTGTCTGTTTCTGACACGTCACAGCTTAGACACAACTATTGCTCAATCACAAGAAACCCTTCTGTAAGCTTGCTCAGGGCCTGAGATTTAAATCTCAACCCTTCAGGCCCTTCCCAACCCTCAGGCCTTGTGGAGTATGTAGGCTGCCTGGGATGCTGGAGAAAACCTAGTCCTTGATTCAGAGGACTTGGCTTAAATCTTCATTCTGTCCTAAACTACATGGCCAAATCCAAGACACTTAACTTCGTTGGGTCGCTTCCCATTTGTCCTTCATGTTGAGGTTACTATGCGGATATAAGTGGGAGTGTACAAACATGAAAAGGCCACCTACACTTGAGTGATTTAAGATTTTCCTTGTGATTAATGAGGTTAACAGTTGCCCTAGTGAGCTCATGAAGCCTCTGCGGTGGTGAGGTTTGTCTGAGCCTTTGGAGTGTCCCACCTGGCTGTGAGCAGGGAGCCTCCTTAACCAGGTGAGGGATCTTTTGTATCTTTCGCTAGTGTGCTTGCTGGGGCCAGCCCAGGGGCTGCCGCTGGAGATGTAGGGGCAGGCCACATAGTGAAATTCCCACGTGCCTACCAGCATGGACACTGGTACTTCTCTGGCATTCTCTAAATCTGTGCAGGGTTCTCGGAGAAGGGCAAGTAGAGCTAATCACAAATGGGTGGGAATAGTCCTTATTGGCTTACAATTCTGTGTTTCTGGAGCCAGACTTTCCTGCTTCCTGCTGTGTAAAGTGGCACTAACATAGCACGAGAGTCCAGCCTGTGCACTGACACAGATGTTGCTCCCAGGTGGTGGCTGTGACTGTGGTTAATGCAGAGCTAATAAGAGCAGATAGGGACTCATTTTTGAGGGCCTGCGAGAGACTCTAGCTAGGTGGACTCCAAGGATAGAACAAGGGGGCTCAACTGAACCAAACATCCCCACTCCGCTTTTCTTCTGGACCTGGGTTTCTGGGTAGCAGCACTCCTACACTCTGCCACTGCCATCTGTGAGCTCATGCAGGCTGAGCCCTGCACACACAGATGCCTGGGGGTGGCAGCGCCCTTCCTATCTCGGCTGAGTCCAGGGCATAAGGAGACACCCTGCACAGTTAGACAGGGCTCTTGCAGCCTCATACATGGGGGAAAGTAATGGGTTCAGCTGGTGCTTCTTTTTGCTGAGACTTAGAGAAGTTGCAGCAAAGGCTGTCAGGCTCTGAGCTGTTCTCCCTGTATGGCCTATCACCAAGTTGAATCCCCCTCTGGCCGCCTATTGGCCTTCCTCAAATCCATTCTTACTTTGAGGACCAGCCCTGGTGATGAGGTTTCTGACAGCCAGGTTTTGTGTCTGAAGCATTTCAGCATGTAAGTAGCTTCCTTTTACTCACATTCAGCTCAGCAGGCCCTGTCAGGAAATGTTCCCAAGGCCCTAGTGGCCACGAGCAAAGGAGACAACGTACTCCTTGCCTGTGCCTCAGGCCAAGATAGATTTCTTTTTCTTCATCTGAGAGTTGGCTTTGAGGACAGTTGGTATCCAGCTGGGCTTGGTGTCCATTTGAGCCTGGGAAGCCTCAGACTGTGCAGTGGGCAGGGTTGTTGGGCCTATGGTGATTATAGAAGAGATGTGGAAGGGCTGGCCTGGGCCAACGCACTCTTAATATCAGAGGTCAGCTTGCAGCATGGGTCTGTGGGAGCAGGGCTAGCAGAACCAGTGGCCATTATAAAGCTGCCATAAAGCAGGCAGCTTGCTCAGTGAAGCCAAGCCTCCCACTGTCAAAGGGGCAGACACCTGCTCAGAGGAATTGGGTGTGGTAAGTAAGCTAGCTGAGGAACCTGGGCTGTAAGACCAGAGAGCCTTGGTGCTTACTACCTCTGTAAGCTTGGCAAATTTCTTAATCTCTCTGGGCTTAGTTGCCACCCATTTACAAAGTGGGGCAATAGTACTAGTACATCCTTTGCAGGATTGCTCTGCGAAGGAAGTGAGTTAATCCCTATGGAGAGTTGATGCTCATGCCTGATCCCAGATGGCCTGCTGCAAGTGTCATTGTAACCTGGAGATGCAGGGCCCTTGGATCAGTATGTGCCCGTTCCATTGTCCAGGGCATGCCCAAGTCCCAAGACCCAGGAATCCATGTGAGGACTGTAGGCTAGCCCACCCAATCCTCCCCATCCATCCTGTCCAGTCCCCCAGCTCTCCATGCCATGGCAGAGATTTTGAGTTGGCAGTCCACTGGTCTTCAGTGTGTCTTTCACTCCTTCATTTAAGCAGCTGCCTGGGCATTTTTAATTGGAAAGAGTGGAAAGGCTTGAGCAGGCTGCCTCTGACCAACCTAAGGGTCTAGGACAAGTAGCAGGTGGCTCTTTACATCAATATTCACAGACACCCTGAAAGTACTTAACACCCATCTCTCCAAGGAGCACAAGCCATGCGGACTCCATTTTCTTACGGTATAGAGGACACTATCATGGGGTCCAGAGGATTGATGACATTGGAAGGCCCCTTTACTGAGTCCAATCCCCTCATTGGGGGATTGATGACATTGGAAGGCCCCTTTACTGAGTCCAATCCCCTCATTGGGGGTCTCAGTCAGGGGAAGGAGTTGCCTGAAGTAACACAGCATGGTCACTGTAGATTAGGGACTTTAACTCTGGTGCACTTTATCACTCAATCTGAGATGGCCAAATTGCTGGGTTACCAGCAGGAAT